AAGGATTTGGGAGAAAAACCTATTTCATATTTTTATTTTTTCTCTCCTTATGGCAAATATGATATCAAAGCGGCGACAAGACATAAATTCCGGGCGGGTCACCCTGCACGCATCTCCAGCTCCTGGAGCAGTTTCTGGCCATGCTGATGGGAACTCCCCCCTGTTTCCCTGCAGCCCCTGCACGTGGTGTGCCCTGAGCAGTACACACAGCCCCCTCCCACGCAGTCCCACCGCACGGACCTGATGATCGACTGCCAGCCGCCGGCCATGTCCTACCGGCGCGCCGAGGTGCTCACGCTGCCCTACAAGCGCCGCTACGAGAAGATCGAGATCATGCCCGACGTGAGTCCCTGCAGGGGGGTTCCTGCTCACACACAGCCAAATTCCAGCTCAGCAGCCTCTGGGAAGGGGTGGAATGGCTGAGTTGTTGTGGTTGGAAAAGGTCTTTAGGGCATCCAGTTGAGCTGTCAGCCAGCGCCACTGCTGTGGTTGGCCTTGAGTGCCACTTCCAGGGGTGGGGTCTCCTCCTCTTCCCTTTCCATGGACAATTCCTGCCTGATGTCCAACCTGAGCCTCCCCTGGCACAGCTTGAGGCCGTTCCCTCTCATCCTGTCCCTGTGCCCTGGGAGCAGAGCCTGACCCCCCCTGGCTGTCCCCTCCTGTCAGGAGTTGTGCAGAGCCACAAGGTCCCCCCTGAGCCTCCTTTTCTCCAGGCTGAGCCCCTTCCCAGCTCCCTCAGCCCCTCCTGATGCTCCAGCCCCTTCCCCAGCTCTGTTCCTTTCCCTGGACACTCTCCAGCCCCTCAATGTCCTTCTTGTCGTGAAGGACCCAGAGCTGTCCTCAGGACTGGAGGTGCAGCCTCAGAACTGAAGGTATTTGTCCTTAAGATGTCTTGTGGCTGGAATTTACAGTTGACTCTCTTCATGTAAAGCACATTCTGTCAACTAGAGAGCTTGGAAAGAAGCATTTTTGAGAGATAATTTCATTCTATAAACTAATGGGAACTGAAAAAAACCAACATTGGTTGTCTGAAAGAGCTGTTCAGCCTGGAGAAGAGACCTCAGAGCCCCTTCCAGTGCCTAAAGGGCCTCCAGGAGAGCAGGAGAGGGACTGGGGACAAGGGATGGAGGGACAGGACACAGGGAATGGCTTCCCACTGGGAAAGGGGAGATTAGGGTGGCATCTTGGGAAGGAATTGTTCCCTGGGTGGGTGGGGAGGGGCTGGGCTGGAATTCCCAGAGAAGCTGTGGCTGCCCCTGGATCCCCCCTGGAAGTGTCCAAGGCCAGGCTGGAGCAGCCTGGGATAGTGGAAGGTGTCAGGATTGGAGTGGGATGAGCTTTAAGGCTCCTTCCAACCCAAACCATTCCATGATTCTGTGATTGTGAGCAGGCAAAAACTGTGCTCAGGTGAGTTGTCCTTTGCAAAATCCCATCCCACAAGACAAACAGTGACCTCTGCCATGTGTGAAGTAACCAGTCACCTCCAGATTAAATACAAGGAAGTTTTAGGCAGAGCAGTTTGAATTAGTGCCCCAGGACCATGAAAAGGATCTAGAGAATCCAGGAGTTAGTAGCCAGAAATTGTCTTTCTCCTTCCCCAAACTCACCTGCTGTTAGAAATACCCTTCCCATTAAGGATCAGTTTTCAGTCATGGTAAAGAAGCAGTGAAAAGGCTCATTTGTATTCCAATAATTTCCATAAATGGTTAATTCCTACAGGCTGCAGGAGGCCCAGCAGGTTAATGGATTGCTTGTAGCCATCTAAAATGTGGATTACTTATCCCCACAACATCTATTAATGATTTATTAACCCCATAAGTCAAATCCAAATGTACCCATATTACCAAGGGTGACCCATATTCTGACAGACATGAGCTTAAAATATTTTTTTTGACAATCCAATCAGCACAAATGTGTCCTTGGATCAAAGGTGACAGTGGCTTTTTGCAAACAGGCATTACTGCCCTTTAGAAACTGGAATATTGAGTGACTTTTCATTGGAGTGTAGCAGGAGGAAGCATCCTTTAGTTGAGCCAAATATGAAGTGCAGAATTGGGAGCCACCCAGTAACAAATCCCTCAGGCAGCCCACAACACCACTGCCACCATTTCACAGCATTTCTGTGAGGAGCTGCCCAGCCCAGTGCTTGGAGACAAGGAGAGGGCTTTAATTACAAAATATGCTTGGCTGCAGCTCCATCTTGGCATGTATATTTAATTGTTTGGGAAATTTACATATTTATTGGATCCTATTAAACCTAAGACTGGTGAAACTTGGCTTCAGTTCACCAGCATGAAACCAATCCTGAGTTCAGAGTGCAGGGAGCCAGCCTGGGGCTCACAGATTATTCAAATCCCACTGAGGCTTTGGGTTTCCACCTAAACTCTGAGGTGGAGCAGGTGTGAGAGGCTGTCCCTTGTGTCAGCCCCTGAGGGGATTGGATTCCAGCTCTCCTGCCCTTCCCAAAGCTGCAGGGAGGGAGGATGCTCTGCAGGGAATGTGGCAGCACCAACCTGGGAACAGCAGCTGGTTTCTGTTGCACTCACTTTAACTTGGAGAGGTCCAGCAGAAATCTGGAAAAGGGCAGAAATGGCCTTTTTTTCTCCTCGCCTAACAACTAAAATCCAGTTATATTCACACAAGTCCTAATTTCAGAGCTATCCACGCTCTGAAGGAGGGAGGAGAAATATCTTGTGATTGTCCATATCCAGGGGTTCTTCAGGCTGATTGTTCAGCCTGGGAAGGCTCTGGAGTGACCTTTCGGCACCTGAAGGGGACTCCAGGAAAGCTGGAGAGGGACCTTGGATGAGGAGTGGAGTGCCAGGACAAGGGGGAATAGCTCCCATTGCCACAGGGCAGGGTTGGGTGGGATATTGGAGATCAATTCTTTCCTGTGAGGGTGGGGAGGCCCTGGAATAGAATTCCCAGAGAAGCTGTGGCTGCCCCTGGATTCCTGGAAGTGACCAAAGTCACGCTGGATGGGGCCTGGAGTAACCTGGGATAGTGGGAGGTGTCCCTGCCATGGCAGGGGGTGGCACTGGGTGAGATTTAAGGTTCCTCCCAACCCAATCCATTCTGGGATTTCCCTGATTCCAGAACTGCTCTTCACAACTCATTGCAAAAGCTGCTTGGTCTGTGGTGATGCTCCTGAAAAGGCTCCTGAGAGCTTCAGGACTGTTAACAGGATGCCATTCCCCAGCTCCAAGACATGCAAATCATCCTCCAAAAAAAGGATCTTGCTCCTTCTTTTTAAGGGAACTGCATGGTCCTGGTAAAAAATGGATGCAGCTTCCCCTTGTGCTGAGTGGGTTGTGCAAGACAGATTTCAGACATGATGGATGGGGCTCCCTGGTGTGGGAGTATTTGCTGCTTAATGTTCCCTTTTCAGTAGTTCAGGGTTTCTGAATATAGGAATTTCTGTAGTGCAAGGAAAGGACATTTGTTTAATATGGGCTCCCACCAGCCCTGGGGTTCTGTGCAGGCTCAAGTGGCAATTGAAAAGGGCATTTTACAGCTCCTAGAAACCTTGCAGTGGCTTGTTATTTGTCAAAACCATGTTAGCCTGAAATGGAATGATGAAATCCACCCTGGAAAAAATAGTGATTGTTAGATGTGCTGCAGGGCTGGGATTTGTGTGTGAAGTAAACCTGAAAGTCTCATAAAAGAATGGCTGCTACAATGAAATCCTGACCAGGGCCCCCTCCTGACATCCCAGTCCCTTTCCCAGCTCAAAGTTCTGCCTGGATTCTTTGAAAACCAAAGGGTTGCTCAGTGTGGCTCCACTCAGTGCAGGCTGATGCTGTGGTAGAGTGAAATTTCCTTCCCAAAACTTGCAGTGATTCAGATCCTGGCCTGTCAGACTAATGGAAATTTACTTTTTTACTGCTGGACCTTGTCTATATTTCAATCACCTCAGCAAGGAGCAAAGGCAGGTCAGGCGGGCCTGTTGTATGATAATGAGATTTACACTCACAGCAGCCTTTGTTTGGAGAGAGTTTTCAACAGTCCCAAGGCATCAGGCTGGAATGGCTCTTCCAGGGATTGTGCAAACCTTTACACTTTAAATAATTTCTTCTCAGCATCTGCTTTTCACTTAAAAAAAATAATTATAAAAAAAGACTGCTTCCTGGAAATTGGTTAGGCATTGTCTGCTCGCAGGAGAAAGATGGGAAAATGGAAAACACCTTCTGGAGCAAACAGATAAAATTAAACAGTAGTGTCTGAGCAAATAAAGTGCCTCCAGTTTAATTACAGCTGAACAATGGTGCAGATCACTCGGTGCCTGCAGCTGACACTTCTCTCAGGGCTCTGTGCTCCTCAAATACTCCATTTGGTGTTCTTCAGGACACAGCCCAGTCAGGAGAGTGTCAGTGTCCAAGGCACAGCCTGACACCAAGTGAAATTATCAGAAAATACTGCAGAGAAGAATTAGGAAAATTATTATTTTTCCTAATTCTTCTCCGCAGTGTTTTCTTTCCTAGCCATCATAATTATGGAGGTTTCATCTTGACTCCTTTTCCTGACTTTTACCTGACCTTTCCAACTTCCTTCTGTGTTTCAGGGACTAAGGAGTTTTGAATTCTGTCCTTCTGCCCACCCTCAGCTCATTTTGGTGACCCCACATTTTCCAGTCTCTGACCTCTGTGTTCCTTTTTCCCTGACTATTCCCCCTGGGTTCAGTGTGCTGTAGCCTCACAAGAAGTAAGTGAAATACAACCTGGTTAAATGAAATGCAACCTGGTTAAATGAAATAGAACCTGTTGAAGTGAAATAGAACCTGTTTAAATGAAATGGAACCTGTTTGCCTCTGCTGCTCAGCCTGTCCCAGCTCACAGCTCACTGCAGAATTGCCTGGGGTCTCTGTCTGAGTTGGACCTCACCTTCTGACATTCCACCAAAACTGCTCTTTCCCAGCTTTTACCAACTTCCCTCACACAAAGCCAGAGCCAGTGCTGATAAATGCCCCTGATTTACCTGAGCAGAGCTCAGTGCAGCTTTTATTTTCTCCTTAGAAACGTCTCCCACCTCCCTCTGGTGTCTCTTCTCTCCTGGCCATTCAGCCTGAGAGAGTTCTCCTCCCTCCTCCTCTCTTTTTTTTTGTGCTTGGAATGTGTTGTCCTTCATTTCCTTTGCCTTTTTTTGTTGCTGTGCATTTCTGTGGTTGGTCTTACCCACAGGTTGTCCTATTTAGTCAGGTGGAACTCAGATCTGCTTTTCTGCTTCCAGCCTGCCTTTGCCTGCCTGTATTAATGTCTAGGTTTGTTTTTCCTTTCATTTTTGATGGCTGGCTGTAAGATAACACTTTTCTAGGCAGGCACTCTCTTCCCAGTCAGCTTCAACAA